TCCATGATCATTTTTATGTCACCACCACAAGTGGTGACATATTGTTATGGTCTCAAACTTTTTTGTGGACGGTGTTCAGTGGTTGGTGTTTATCATTTGGCAGTTGGTGTTTGGCAGTTGGTGTCTGTAACAAATGGCAGGTGTTGACATTTTGCATGTGAATGCCTTGTCTTATAATGTAGCCAACTGCAATGGATGTAAAACGGATACAGTTAACTAATACATTTCTTGGCATCAATTCAAATCATATGCTAATTTTAAATGAAAATGCTTTTTTTCATGTTTTACCACTCATAAATGCAATAATATCTCGATGTCACATTCAGGAAAATTAGTAGATGGGTTAACTACATTTGGACTTCATTGTATGATGCAAATGTCCCCTTTGGCATGGAAGTACCTTAGGGCAATAGAAATAAATTTATCCAAAGACACAAGCTAGATGGCGCTTTATATTGGAAATATACACATTTTTCAAAATGGCCGCCAAAAATTCATCAGAGACAATATCTTTGATTCTGTACGTGCTACAATTAAAAGATTGGTGTCAAAAAATACAGCGATGTAGTCGAAGAATCTATTTTATTAGATCTTGAGTCTTGAAAATTAAGAACTTCCACTTTATATTCAAAATATACGCGTTTTTCAAAATGACTGCCAGAAATATAACAAAGAAGATATCTTGACTTACGAATACTTACAAATTAAGATATCTTACCTTACAAAATGTCCCCTTTGGCATGGACTTACCTTAGGGCAATAGAAACAAATTTATCCAAAGACACAAGCTAGATGGCGCTTTATATTGGAAATATACACATTTTTCAAAATGGCCGCCAAAATGCATCAGAGACAATAGTTTTGCTTCTGTGCATGCTACAATTATAAGAGTGGTGTCAAAAAATACATTAATGTAGTTGTAGAATCTATTTAATTAGGTTTCAAGTCTTGTAAATTCATCACTTGCACTTATATTCAAAATATATGCATTTTTCAAAATGGATGCCAGAAATATAACAAAGTAGATATCTTCGCTTCTAAGCATCCTACAATGATAAGAGTGGTGTCAAAGTATACATAATATTGGGTTGTAGAATCCATTTAAATAGGTCTTTCATAATAAGAATTTTCACTTTAAAGGAAATTATGCGCTTTTAAAAATGGCCACCAGAAATATAACAATGATGATATCTTCAAATCAGTGCATGCTACACTGATACGATTGGTGTCAAAATTTTATATCTACGGGGTAGGAGAATCAATTTTATTAAGTCTGGTGAGATTATAGTTTTCACTTTATATTGGAAATATATGCAGCTGAAAATATAACAAAGCTTGTATCTTTGCTAACAAAGATTGTACCTTTGCTAACAAAGATTGTATCTTTGCTAACAAAAATTGTATCTTTGCTAAAAGTCTCTTTACTTCTGGGCATAATATTTCATAAAATTGGCTTCAAAATCTACATTTTTGGGAATGTAAAATCTATTTAATTACGCAGATGCAAGTAGGTAGTTACTATTTTCCCCACCAGGTGGTTAATTCGGGTGAAATAACATTGCAGAGTATTACAAAGTTCCCTTAAACTTGAATATTATTTGGTGGTTCACATTTCATATTACTAGTTTGTATCTGATAGTTGTACAAATTAAAATATCTCCAGGTAAAGAAAATATTATCTGCACAACACAAGAAAAGATATTTTACTTTTTGTGTTTTACAACATGGGGACTATGGGGAATCTCCCTGACCTAAATGTCACATTTTTTGAAGAAAATTTAATTCTAAAGTTGATGGACTCATTTCAAAACCACATTTCTTGATGTCTTTTTTTATGACGATTCCAAATTCAACATCAGTTAGACTGAATTTTGAATGACAAAAATAAAGATTGTTACTACTCGCATCTAGCAAATTGGATTATGAGTCTTAAAAATAATCGCTTTCGGCTTAACAGAGCAAATGTGTATTTATCTTTCAATGTTCATTATACTCAAATTCACCAGAAAGACCAGTGTCTCTTTAATAACTTCCAATCAACATGCATCTGCAATGGTAGTGCAACTGTAGTTGTTGCAATGCAACATACATAACAGAGAAATGTGATAGATAGAAACCACGCAGGACAGACATACATATGTACATATAGTTAGAAAGGGCCAGAAACCTTCTGGCGAGAGAAAATCTTGAAGATCGGGATAGATTTTAAGGGCTGCATATTATGACAGTAATGCAGAACCCTCTTCATCTCCTCTGACCAAATCATGGAAGATGTCTCTGTTTTCCGAGTCTTCCACTAATCCAATCAACAAACTATTAAGCTTGTTGATTGGCAACCGTTTTGAAAAAGACATGTATGTACACACATACAGCACCGAATATTGTCATATTGAGAAAAATATTCTTATTTTCTCATTTCAACATTTAAGAGATTAAGATTTTAAGATTTTAAACGGCAATATGTCTTTCACCATGAGTACTTCTACTATAAATACAGTGTTTATTATTAAAACAATGTGTTTTATTCCAAGTGAAGTCCCCATGATTGTAAAATATGAATACAACTTTCTGGAAAATTATGGATTATTATTATATTATTGGCACTTTTTTAAAATGTTAAGCTTATTTTGTAAAAAGATGATCTTGTTTTTCTCAATTAAAACATATCAAAAGTTGTCTCACTTTATATCAACAATTACTTAAAAGTGGACGGTATTTGAAATGCACTGAAGTTGAAAACCACATCCCCCATGCTATCCATTGTTTTCAGCATAGTTTCTGTCATCGCTAATTGATATTCAAAACTACACTTTCGAACTATTCTACTTTTGAAGAAGTTTAAGAGCCCTTGTTAGATCTATTTTTGTAATATTTTCCACAGCCATTGGAAAAAGGCATACATTTTCAATAAAAAGTGAAAATGTTAGATAACTAATAGACATACAGTACAATATCAGAATTTCCGCTGATTTAAACATTTTGGTGACCATTTAGTCAATGCTAAAAAAAATTATATTTAGACAATAAAAAATTGAGATCTAACTTAATATAATGTAACCATACCTTGACAACATATCTAGTAAGTAATAGCTAATCAGCTCCTTCTCTGGGACATTTTGAATTTTCTGAGGCATTAATCATAAAATTAACACCATCTTCAATTTAATTGAGTACATATGGCCATACTTTGAAGGATTCTGACAATAATTGCAAAATCATAATAAGATAAACAATGAACTGACAGACTGACGGACGGAGGGCTTCACTATATCCCCACTGAACTATATTCCCACTAAAGACTATAAACCTTATCAAATGAATTCTACCACCCATTAATGTATACTTGGACATCAATCTTACTATTGTAGCATGCATACAAGTGAAGATATCATCTTTGTTACATCTTTGGCAGCCATTTTGAAAAAGGCATAATTTTTTGATATAAAGAGGAAATTCCTAATTTTCAAGACTCAAACCCATATTATATTGATTCTTCACCCACAAAATGTATATTTAGGCACCAATCGTATCATTATAGTATGCATAGAAGAAAATATATTGTCTCCGTTGTATTTTTGGCGGCCATTTTGAAAAATTTGAATATTTCCAATATAAAGCGCCATCTGGCGTGTGTCTTTGGATAAATTTGATTCTATGGTCCTAAGGTACTCTCATGTCAAAGGAAACGTTTGCATCATAGATTGAAGTCCAGACCCCCTAAAATGCAGTTAACCCATCTACTATCAACAAGTTTTGAATTCTTACAATCCTGGAAGTTGTACATGTAAGCGTGCACATCTGTCAGTTCAGTTTATGTGTAAAAGTTAATCCCCTAAGCCTTAATACCTGATGCATGAAATATTATGAATGAGTTACATAATATGTACTCGTGCTATTTAGGTAAATGTTGTGCTGTTTCACCAGATTTGACTGACATCTTTAAATAACAACAATTTGATTTGATGATCAGACAGCAACAAAACATATTAAGTGGCCAAGACAAAAGAATGTTATTATGATAGGCATTCTAGGGATTAAGGAATGCATTCAGCTTACATAATTTGAGAAATTATTGGCATACGTAAAACCTATTTAAAACAGCATTTATCGTATTCAAAAGCGTTGAGCATCATTGATTCCCAGCCCTCTGAAGATTGAAAAATAAAAATACCTGGGTGTTAATCCATGGATTATCTTTGAAAATGAGAAATATATTTTTGGATTACATGGTGTAATCTTAAAGTAAACAAAATGTTTTAAAGTGTATTGATGTTTTTTGGATGAAAAACATAAGCGAAATTCATGAAAAAAATCCCCCGATTCATTCTACAAACAACTCGCCCTCCTTTCCTGGATAACTGCTTACCTGTTCAACTTGAAATTTTTACAGATGCAAGAGCAGACTAGTACCAAGATCTGATTAGGTTAAGGGCATGCTGGGTAAACTACGTGGTGGCCATTTTGAATTTTTCAACAAATCTTGTCATCAAAATTCCAGGAAAACCACTTATCCGTTCAACTTGAAATTTTTACAGATGCAAGAGCAGACTATTGCCAAGATCTGATTAGGTTTTGGGTATGCTGGCTGAATTACATGGTGGCCATTTTGAGTTTTCAGTTTGGCGGCCATTTTGAATTTTTCAACTTGCTCCAAATTGACCAATTTTTTTTTTTAAAAACATCTACAATGTCTCAGAAGTTCAAATCTGACCTTAGATTTCAGATTTGACCTTTCGTTGACCTTCAAAAACTACAAATAAATTCTTGTCATCAAAATTGCAGGAAAACCGCTAACCTTGTCAACTTGAAATGTTTACAGATGCAAGAGCAGACTAGTGCCAAGGTCTGATTAGGTTTTGGCAATGCTGGGTAAATTGCATGGTGGCCAGTTTGCTCTTCAAAGTGTGATATTTATCACTGTGTGTCTTGTTACATACTGATACAAGTGTGCATAAAAGCCATAGGTGCTGGCAAGATTATATTTACTTTTATGCTTTTAGGTTCGACTTCTTGTGCACTACCTGCAGCTTCTGGCTCTATCTTTGTCACTACGTGTTTACTGGTCAAATGTTACAATGCAGTTTCTACAGTACACCATGCTTTCCTACGTTAACACAGCAACTGTAAACCTTAGTAAGTAAATACAAGAATTTAGAAATCATAGTCATTCTAACCCCATTGTCATTCCAACAAAGGAAGTTTGATTGGGATAAAGTATGTGTAAATCTCATGTCCATCTATCTCTCTTCTTTATGACTGGCTATTGAACTATTGGTACAAATTCACATTCAAAGGGCTTAATTTAATTATTCTGTGCAGGTCAACAAACTAAAGGAGTAACTTTTTGATATTTTGAATTCTTAATCCCAATGAAAGTATATAATGTATATTATTAATATTATGTATATTATTTTGTATAAAATGTAACCGTGTTAATATGAAATATTTCTTGGTAAAGGTGCAAGCAATGTTCATGTTACTCATGTTACTTTTTTGTCAATTTATCTTGAGATAGAAGGAATTTCCAATATGGTCACTCCGATCTATATTCCAAATGACCTTTTATTATAAAACATGAACTATTTGATAACTCAAATACCATTTGATGGATTAGGTTCTTTTATGCTGATGCCTTAAAAACAAAGGACTCTGCTTACACATGGTGCGAGCTTTGATCGTGAATTTGGATTTTGACCTACCAGATGTTCCAAAGTCCAGGATTGTGAGTCTTATACTGCACTGTTTTTCTTCAAACTTGTTCTATTCAAAGCATAACAAAAATGCCTTTCTGTTGCTACATTATTCTGTTATACATCTGGTAGGTCAAAAATTCAAATTAGCAGTCAAAGTTTGCACCGTGTGGCTCAAGAAGACATTTTTAAGATGACTGCTGAATTCAAATTAATAAAAAATAATGTTTTTTGATGACTCAAATACCAGTTTCAAGACTTGGTTCGAATTTTATGTGCAGATGCATTGTGGATATATGATAAGAGTTAAGATGGAAATTTTCGTCACCACAATTGTCTGATAATGCAAATACCAATTCATATCAGATTTGATGCAAATTTTATAGGGCAATACCTTTAGGTCATGAGACCCCTATTCAAGAAAAAATTTAAAAAACAAATATAATGACAGGTCACATCATAGGTGTTTATATTGCCAAAAAGACTTTTGCAACATTTGGGAATTATTTTTGTTTTTATATTATTTTTGTGTGGAAGCTTTCCCCTATGCCTCATTTTCACTTTTTCCAGAAACTGATCAAATATTATCATAGCTAAAATACAAGATTACAAGGTGCTCATCAACCTTGTGTTTTATTTATAAAAAATATTTCATTCCTTCAGGGAGATTTTACAAGTATTTTTGAAAATGACATAATATAAGTACTTCTCTAAAGTAAGAATGAAGCATTTGTTTTATTATTCACTCATGTTTCTCATTCTGTAATGAGGAAAGAGGGATTTTAAAAGTCAAATGAGGAAATATTTTCTCTTCAGAATGTGGTTCACTCATCTGCTAATGAACACCCTCTACCCCAAGATCCCTTGAATATTTGAACACAACAAATATTCATTTTAAATTTCTTTTATTTAATTTTTATTTAATATTTCACAAAAATATGTAAAAAGAAACTGAATGATTATACATAATTGTTGATCAATATTTTCACATATCAATAATAATATACAAATAATATATCGTAATTCTCTCTATAATAATTTCTATTTGAGACGTGATTATTTAAACAATGACACAGACATCAAAGAAATCATTATAAAATGAGGATGAATGTGTAACTATCAACCTCAACCATTATTTCACTAAAACTTTATCATAAAATACTTGTAGAAATCATATAAAATATTTACTTCAAGAAATATATAATTTTTTAAATTGTAGTAGATAAATGTAAAACATTTACTTGATTATGAGGAATTGAAACCAATACAAAATATCTTATCTAATATGGTGAGTGCACAAATATCGTTCATATAAAAATTGTATAAATCATATATATATAATATATTATATAGTACATGTATATAAAACATATGAAGAAAGAATCCATATAAATATTCATAATAATAAAAGCATTTATTGTTGCTTTCTTTTAACCTTGCCAGTAAGCTGAGTATTACGGTTAGCAAACAATAAACCAATGAGAAGTATCATACACAAAGCCTGAATACTGTGCATTAATCCTAGTCACACATGGCAAACATAGTGTTTTAAAAAGAAATAGAATTCAACTGCAGCCTGTCATGAAGGCAGGTAATTTTGACAACTCGCTGGCCAAGTTAGAACCAGTTTTTAGATGGCTCTTCCAAATGTGTATGGTTTCGCTCTAAGTCTATTTCTTATTTTCGCCTGCCACATACTACGAGTTATATTCTGTTAAAGATGGAAAATCATAGTTTGGTCAGCAAATTCTATTAAGAAATGAACTATTTGAATACCTTCTTTTGATTTTTAACAATACAGTAGTCTGCTTGTTAGATAAATGTTTACATGGGAAGTGCAAAAATGTGCCCTCAAAATTGTGAAATTAATGAGATAACCAATTTTGGTAAATGCAGGTCAAAACCAATATAACCATTCATATGTTGTAAAGTAAAGAATGGCTATATAATACTGTGCTTTGGTTGACCAAAACATGATATAAAGTACCTATACATGTATAACTATGTGTGAATAGTGATAAAAGCACTTAAAAATGCATGGTTATACAAACTAAAACATTTCGAAATAAAAACATGCTAGAGAAATATAACTAGACAAAATACACAAATACCAAATTTACTACATAATGTAATTACATGTTATATAGAGAGTAAATGTACATTGGAACATTTAAATGTTTGAATTTCTTTTCAGGCCTTATATATTATGTTTTAGTTCTGAGAGTTTCTTGCTATTTTACCGACTGAGTGTTTTATATTACATAAATATTTATTTAAAAGGACTTTGAAATGAACATCTAACACATAAAGGTATTTATTTAGTTAGAAAATATAGATTTTCCAACTTCCAAGGCTAATGGGCCTTATATGAATAAACATTATATGTAATATAATGTGCTTTATTGTTTCAATTGCCTAAGGGAGTCTTCTGTTTACACAAATGGGGGATCAGTGCAAAGTAGGCACTCCCCAATGGGTTTTAGTTTAAATTGATCAATCCTTTTGGATTCATTGGTACATGTGTCACATGACATACCACAATACATTCTATTCATTTTAAATTTCCAACCGGGAAAGACACATTGATAGAAAGGTAGGATTATTTTATTTTATTTCCCTCCCTGTATTACACACTTAATCTTTTAAAATAATTGTACTAATAAGCAGAGAACTGAGTATGCACTTAATTAAGCTAATTAGGTTTTTATATTAGGTGATCTTACTAATTAGCTAGATTATGGTTGTATCTTATTTAGCTAATCTAGCGAATTAAGCTTATTAAGCTAATTATGCTTACTAGTATCTAGCTAATTAAGCTTAATTAAGTGCTCAACTTAAGTTTGCACGCCATATTGACGTAATTTATGACTGAAATCGGGAAAACAAAAAGGTATGATATTCTTTCAGAATTGCTTATAATAACCATTTACAAAATTGTTCCCATGATGGCCAATAATATAAACTTAGAAATTGATAAGATAAAGTGGATTATCACTCTATTTGTGACATTTTATAATTATGTAATCAATATCATGAATGTTGATCCATCTGAGATTAATGTTTGCTGTTGCTAACACAAGAAGACATCCTCATACTTCTCTTTCAAATAAATACCCATAGGTAGAATAGTGAGAAACTCTACTAAGTAATATATTATGGTCAATGAATAGATGAAATTAAGGTGGTTTATAACCCTGTTTATTTTTTTGTGAAGCCATTCAGTAAAAATGATGATTTCTTTGCACCCTGATGTCCAGTCAAGATCATTCGAGTATCTATGTGTTCCTGACACGTTTGGGCATCCGAGAATGACGTCTTTTAACGATGAGCAGAATAAAATTTTCAGTCATAAATTGCTCCATAAATCAAAAAAATTTGATCTTTATTCCTTAAGTATGTGGAAATATTCATCAATATAAAATCAATAAAAAATTTTTTCCATACTTTTGACATTCAAAATGTAAAAAATTGCAGTTATATCCTTACAGTTAGGCTGATGAAATTGAAATCAGCATCTACACTTTTCTTACAAATCTATGTTTTATCTTGTCAAATAATGATTCTCACTGAAGTTATTTAAGTATTGCGAGTTCTTTATGTCAGACAATGATGCAAGTTTCACAAAAAATATATATTGTGTAGTGGTACACTTGTGATTCCACTTTGCATTCAAATGATAATTAGGGTTCCTGTCCATAATGACAGGCTTTGTATGAAAATAATTCTTTATGAACACATAGTTTGTACTGCTGGCAATAGCCAATAGAAGAAAACTTCTGTACTTCAGTTTGGTTTAGGAACAAACAGTACAGGATGTTGATGGGATGATGTAGTCATGCATTTAACACATATATCGTAGTCGTCACACTGTGTGCAATGGAAGAATGAATTCATGATCTCTTTTCCACAGTCATTACATCTATATTTGTGGTTCTTGTCTACTACTGGCAACTTATGCTCCTTTAGCTTAGCATTTTCTTTTTTCAAACTTGCGTTTTCTTCTTCTATTTCCTTCATTTTTTTAAAGAAAAAATGACTCCAGTTGCCATCTGGCTGTATGTCCATCTCTTCCTCCATTTTAATTTTCCCACTTTGCTGTTCCTTACTGCCATTTGACAGTTCCTCTGTAGAGTCAATTTCAATTGGGACACTATTATCTAGTGACAAATCTGTCTCCTCTTCTGTCTGTGGGTCCATTTCTACCTTCATTACCTCTGTAGAGTCAATTTCAATTTGAACACTATTATCTAGTGACAAATCTGTCTCCTCTTTGCATTCATACTTGGCATTTTGCATATGTAACAAAACACATGGAACATTGTATTCCGATATGTTGTGGCTACTTACTATTATGCAGTCATACTTTGATTCTTTCAGTATTTTGCTAAACATTTGCATTTCCTGAGAGGTTAACAAAACCATTGTGATACATTTATCATCTGGTTTTATCCTGTCAAGTATTGAATATTTCATAGTCTCTTCAACCAATGACCCTTCTACATTTGTGATCAAAATCTGTTGTTGATTATGATCCTGGGTTTTGTATCCTTCAAGTTTCTTTATGAGACATTCCACCTTTGTCTCATGGATGTTATTTTCATGTTTCCTTCTTGTTTTGACTTGTATTATTTTGTTTGGCCGTGAGTTGCATCTCAGCCATCTGACAAGTTTGTCATCCCATCCTTGAGCCATTGGGAGCCTGTTATCTGTCTTGAAGTCTTCTAGGTTGTAAGTACACATTTCACTGATCCAAGACTTCAGGTTACGTTTCACCATAAAGAATCTGCTAAACTTCACCACATTTAGCCCCGCTTTATCAGCATCATTGTTCATATTCAAGTCTTCAAACACAGGCCAGGGTCTGTACTTAACACCCTTTGCTTTAAGTGCTTTTATATTTACAAAGACAAGAGAATGTACATGTGTTTGCTTGAATGGTTTTTTCACTCTGAGACTGCCTTTTCTCAACTTAATCATTCCAACTATACCATATTTCGACAGTGGTCCAGAATAACTTGATATAATGTTTTCTGTGGATTTCCCAAGGGTATTTTCAGATCCAATTTTTTCTAGATGTTTCAGTACTCCATAGAGAGGAATATTTTCTGTTTTCAATGTTCCATTATTCCTTTCCAAAAATCCTTCTTGTTCCTTAACCTCCTTAAATGCAGCAAGATTATCATCTATCATGAATATTGTATCAAGGTGGAACTCCTCAGCAAAATGCTGTATAAACCTTCTGCTGTATCCTACTCCTCCTTTGTGCACATCAGTATCTTCTATATTATTTGGTAGCTTCAAGATGGCATGAGTAGTTCTCCAATTCAGGCAGTATTCTTCATACTCTTCTTGTTTCACAACTAACACATGAATGAACTCACAAGAGGTTCTGTATTTGTCTTTGAGCCGCATGGTCCCACAGAAATTAACAGATCCCGTTGTAGCTCTCCCATAGGTCGGGGTAAATATCCAAGACTGTAGCTCATTTCCAGTGGGAGGATCCATTGGTATTTCTGGGGATGATTTTTTATTGAGTGTTTTCATTACTCTCGCTTGGTAGTATCTGCTGTTTGGTATTGATATTGAAGTACATTGACCTTGGATTGTTATTTCAACTTCATGAGAGTTGAGTCCTTCAATCATACATGTTGGGCATGTGTGAACCCTTGTCATTGGTCTATATGGGTTTTCACCATTGGTTTCTTTTCCCTTCTTTTTGCTTTTTTTATTTGTTTCTTTTCTTGTGTATTTTGGTAGAAATCTGTTGGTTGGCTCCTTTCCATGTTTGTATTGACCATATATTGGGTCATACTTAGATTGGCAGTTTATTTTTGCTTTAAGTATCCCCTTCTTAAACATCCTACGAGGTGGATAAAGCCAGAACTTTGATTTGTCTTGTTTCGAGTCTGGAATTGTTTCATCACCACTCTCATTGTCAGTACTGTCATCTGAGAGCTCCTCATCACTTACAGTACATTCTTCCAAAGCGGTTTGTGGTTTCACATTTTGTCTTATAATTTTTTTTATGAGTGAAATTACTTTTAGATAGGTGCCGGTCTTCCCTATTTGTGGTTCTGCACTCAGAAGTATTCTGTTAAAATGCTTTGTTTCATTATCTACATCAGCACCTTTTCCACCAGCTTTGTTGTCAGCTTTTAATCTGCGATCCAACATGCTTGGCTTTTGCTCTATGTATCCATAGTAAACAGCACTTGAGTCGAGAGAATTTTCAAAGTTTTCATATAGATGTTTTCCAATGAGCACATATGGCAGTTCATTGAGTGGCATTTCTTCTGAGTATCGACACAATCTTCCAAGTTCCTGCACTATTGCATTGAAGTAGGGTGGATTTTTTGAGTCTTGAAAGTGTAGTCTCAAATCCATTGTATTTAAACTTGAAGGGAATGTATCACCCATTCTACCTTTCTGTACTAGAATAAGAATACATGGGAGATTTTCTAGGTCAGAATATTGTGTCACTGATTTGTGTCTATGCTTACAATTTTTGCATTCAAGCGATTTAGATTCATATTCCAACCGCTTACACTGGCACATTTCTCTTGATTCCTCATTTTCATCTACATGTTGGCAGTCATTGGTCTGTAAAACTTGCCGTATACGATAAAGTGCTGAAGTGTCATCTTCATTGTTAATGTCGCGTATTTGGAAGTTGGAATAATCTCGAATAATCTCAAACATGTAGTTTTTGTCCGTCCCACCAGCTACCTTTCTTGCTAGACACAAAATCTTATAAATTTTATCTCCATTTTTTTTACCAGTTGCCCTGATGATTTTCATTTTACCCTTCAACCCACTTTTCAGAGCGCTTTGATCCTGAATCAAATCATCTACTATTCTCAATGTTTCGGATTCTTTCAGACAAACATCAAAGGCAGCTAGCAACTGATCTTTCTCAAGCTTTTCTGGACAATCTGGACCAATTTCACAATCGTCTCCATATATGATATTTTTCATGAGTCTAATGTATATATTACTGTTGAATGATCTTTGTGGAATATTCTTCAAGGCATCTTTGACTTCTTCAAAAATCAATTTCAGGTTTTGCCCATGATTCTCATCCAAATTTTTTGCAAAAGTTGTTGTTCTCTCTTCTCGAAGTTTATGGATTTTTTTAATCCAAGATTCAAAAATTGTTTTGGGAATTGAGACCCTCTGATGTGAGGAAATTTGCAATTTTAAAGACTGAAGTCCTTCATTGCTTAGTATGAAGAAAGCATATTCTGAAGCCAGAAGGCTATCCAGATTTGTGTTTATTTGTGTTGCAGAGTTCTTACTGAGATCAGAAGAGAGATCAGAAAAGTTTTTGTCATATCTGATTAGTTGCTCATCTTTCTCTTTGTTTCTTATACTGTTGTAGTAGAATGTCAAGGAAAGATACCTTTTGTTTTTAGTATTCAAGGTCCCTAGCTGTGAAGCCTTGCATATTCCAATCACCATCAAGTAATGGATGTCTTGCACAAACTTGAGACCACCCAATACTTGATAACTTTCAGCTGGTTTTCTGTCAAGTATCATGCACTCCTCTTTTGGGCAATATTTCATGAAGTTTTTGTGTTCTGTCTCTGTTCTTGTAGACAATTGAAACACATCTTCTCCATATTCCAATTTGATGTTAAACTCTGTGCTAAATCTGTTTGAATCATTTTCATCAATAAACTCTAAATGGGTGCTACTACCATATTTTATGGCAGCTAGAATATTTCCCCCATGCCTCACTTTAACTATTCCATTTTCACCTCGTATGGTAAGTTCACTGGGTTTCAAATCTTTGCTTTTACAGAGTTTTTTGTTCCTAACTTCAAGCCAAACTTGATCAAAAGAACCTTTACTTTTCTTTTGGGGAATTTGTAGAGTGACTACTATACCTTGCTCTAAGCGGTGTTTCAATGCTTCAGACCATCTAACATGGTGTAAATCATTTTTTGGTCCAACGAGTTGAGTCACAATATTGTTGCCTTGCATTAAGTGTTTTGATTTTTCCAATTGCTGGACCAAAATGAGTTCATTGTTGACAATGCTAGTTGCACAGTACTTTTTGCTTGGAAGTCGTGTGTTATCACTTAATAAGTTGAAAGGTGTAGCTGTAACTTGAAGAACAATGACATTACCATGTTTATCATTTTTCCAAGAATTGACAAATGTTTCATTTGCACGGCTTACTTCTTCAGTAGATTTATCTGATCCCCAGTGTGCTTCATCAGCAATAACTAGGTGGAGCATTTTAGGATTTTGCTCGGCTTGTTTTTTGAATTCATTAAAGTCCTTCTCAAAACTCATATCATATGTCTTGACCTTTTTTTTACCCTCTTTATTATATAGCTCATTTGGATTGTTGTATGATTCCTCTGGAAAACAAGCCATTTCCCTTTGACACAACCTAGCTATAGTTTGATCTCGTAACATTGTATATCTTGCAGTATATATACGAAAATCAAACCTTTCAAACTCATCTAAAGAAGTTGGAATTGTATCGGAATCTATGTTTCTCTCTGATTTGTACTCTGTGAGTATGAGAGAAATTCTGTTTATTATGTCTTGTGCCAGAAACTCTTGAATGGGAAAATAGGAATTTCTTACTTGCGTTTCATCTGGATGAATGTCTAGCATTTCTTTTGACATTTGATATAAATCCACTGGCTCATAAAAGTTAGTTTCAGTCTGTTGATCAGTTTTATCATATTCATTTTCTTCTTTTTTCTCATGAGAATCGTCTGTCCTATCGGAAAGGTGAAAAATATTTTCACCTACAATCTTTTGCTTTCCATGTTTTGCCTCCATTTGTTTTTTATCTGGTATTGCTGAAACATAAAAGATGATTTCAAGATAACATGATAAGGTCTACATTTAGTATGCTTACTATATACAGTGATCTCCCCTTGAATTTTGGTGGTAGTTATTTGATTTAAACAATAGTATAGTTTCCATATAGCTTTTGAAATCTCGCTAAATCTCGTTTTTCGTGAGATTTTAAGAGACTTGCATATTAGACCTCCAATGACTTACATTACCTTCTTTTAAATGGCATTTTTGAATTCATTTCATTGTTTTCTCCTTTAATAGCTTTGATTTACAAAGTTATGTAATTTGAATAATTTTCTATGACAATTTTAAAAAACTTGGGCCAAATCTCCATAGATGCAATGCTAAAATTCTTTAAAACCATGGATTACTTGTATGTTAATCAACATTTGCATGTTTAATCACAACATGTACATAAACAGGGTCATCATGTGGTATATCATTCAAGTTTTATACAGATTCAACTAACACAGTTTGATGAATCATGAAATTAAGCCACTTTTCCAAGATTTTAGCATGTAACTGAATGGAACTCTAGCCCAAGTTAAAAGCTGAATAAAAGATGGCAGCACTAGATTTCATTGATTTTTCTGCTATTTAGAAACTATCCTTTTGTGCTGCTGTCTGTGCTAATAACGCAAATGTGAGTAGGTAGTTACCAGTTTCACCACCAGGTGGCTCGCTCGGGTCAGATAGCATGGCGGGTATATAGTAGAAAGTTCCCTTTAACTTAAATTACATCTGTTTTAGTGGTTCAATTTTCATATAGCCCTAATGTATCGAATAGTTATGCAAATTAAACTATGTCCAGTAAAAGAAAATGTTATATGTCCAATACAAGAAAAGATATTTCACTTTTTGTGATTTTGTAATATGGGGTCTATGGGGAATCAACCCGAACTAGAAGTCACATTTTCAAAAAAATATTAAATTTTCAAAGTTGAAAATCAATTTTCGAAACCATATTTTTAGATGTATTTTTACATGTAGATTTCAAATATGACATCATTTTGACTGAATTTTGAATATTTAATGACTTAAATCAATCTCATTTCTACTCGCATCTTGTCTATTGTGATTTTCAAATCAGTGCCAATATCAAAAATGTCTATACCCAATATGATATACCAAGAAAGTAAACTGTTCAAATAATCAACTTTTTTTTTAAATTTACAGTAGGTTTCACATAATTCAAACATTTGTTTCCTTGTCTGCAGTATATTTTTCCTGATAAATCTCTTATTGGGTGATTTCCATACTATACTAAACCAATATTATCTCAAAATAGTATAATGAATGATTGTAGGAAATGTTCAGGTTTAAGAATTTTGTTTTAGCATTTAACCAAGAGAGCTGCTGTGTAGGTTTTCTGCATATGTCTTTAATTTTCTTGTTTCTTTTTAACATTTCTCCATATTCTCATGTCCTTTATATGAAAAATAATGATCTGTTGTTATATTATAAATATAAAGTATAACTAGATCAATATCCAACAGTTTCTAGTGAAAATAATGAAGATAATTGGGGAAACATTTCCTTCAATTCGAGGGGCTCCTCTGGGTATTTCTTCAATATTGTTTAGTTAGATATTTGCTTCATTTTATCAATGGTATTGTAAACTCTCCAATGACAATCCATATCATTATTGTAAAAAAATAATGTTACATATACTTTTTTCTGATCTTGCGAATAAGCCATACTTGGGAAGAAAAATTGCCATACATGAAATTCCTGGGGATATTTGACGTCTTTCATATATTGGCGCTAAAATTACAATGGTCTGAAGGATGTATTTTGGATTTGTTAAATGCCCAGGCGCTAATGATGGGAGCTGTATTTTATTGTTCACCACCCTGACAATTTTTTCTAAAAAGTTCTGTGATAAAATTATGAACAGTACTATGATTCAGTCTCAAATATTATCACCATCTGATCAATTATGCCATATATGATGAAAGTGGAAAAGGTGGGTATAAATGATAATTGATGGACGACTAAAATGTTGTTTGATATATCTCCTGAATGTAAAGTTGATTTTTGCTATAGATGAAACTACCGTATTCTCCCTAAAAACTGCCCAACCACAATGGGCACCCCCTTCACTTTATTTCTTGGTGTTATAAAATGCCCAGTAACTCAGTATGTAATCCGGGATAAGAGTTCTTAAGTTTTATACAATTTTTGATGACAAATGGATCGAAATTATTGAAGTAAAATATCATCAGGCATTAATCTTCATTAATACTATAAAATCAGTCAGTCAATCATCGCTAATCACTGTGAAATCCCAGGAAATAAAACTGAAAGTGACTGAGATCCCCGGGGGGTTTACTCTTAATAATTTGGGTAGGTATGTGCAGCCCAGACAATTTTGGCTTAGGGCATAAACCATGGAACCTGGCCAATCTCAGAGGAAAAAAAACATGGAAAATTTGTCGAAGAGAGAGCCTTTTTTAATATAAGTCAATAATCACTTTTCCTACAAAAAAATTTAATAAATTGGTGAAATCAGTTGGGGAAGTCAGGGACAAATCATCAAAAACGTGGATTTTGTAGTTAATGTACCAATATTTCAGGAAATTTACTCCTTTCTATAAGTGTGAGAGGAAGTATACATGGAAACTTTCAATCTTGAGAGGAAATTGACATGGAAAAATACTCAAAAGGGGGGTCTTTGGCGCGGCACATAGGTATTAAGAGGTATATTGGAGTGAACCCCCCGGGCTGAGATCTCGAAACCCATTCCAACAGACCTTACATAACTGAATGAATTTTTTGTCAAAACTATAAATGCATCATTAGGTAGTATGGTACTGATAACAAGGGTTTTTATGCCAACCCATTTGTAATGTTATTATTGTATCTGATCCACACCTAGCACAAAAGTCGTTCACTTTAATAAACCCCTTATGAAGGAAAATATGATAGTCCAAAAGAAAATGAGAAATACCATTGGCTTATTGTTGTGTTTGGATAACTCATAAAATGCCACAATGTTCAACATTTGTTATATATAGGTAACAGGAAGAGTACCTTTTAAAATATAGTTAGCTCTACAACATTGAATTTTTGAATTGGTCGCTTAGCAAACATAAATCGAACATCCAAATTTAATGATATAACTCTTACCATTTGATAATTGAGTTTCTCTCTTGTTTTCTTTTGCTGAATCATTAGTATTTGCCTCTCTTGCTTCACTGTTTGGTTGTGTCACTGTATCGCTGTGCTGTAAATATATATGGCATTAAATTATTTGATCACTTTTTTTATTATACAGCACATGTATTTTTGATTACATTTTCATCACTGAAAAGTAAAACTACATTTATGAGATTTGATACCTGTAATTGACATTTAAGGATGCAGTACTGTGTCCGCATAGCTTAAGTTCCAGACATTAGATTTTGATCATATTTTTTACAAATGTTGTTGTATCACTATGATGTTATCATTATCCAGTTGCAATAGGAAGAGGATTGACCGACTGGTTATTACAAAATAAAAAATTCTCTTAAAGTCCCCATATAAAGTTTAAACCACTTTGGCTTATATTGTAGTCTTACCAAATGTTATCAAAGTCTGATATGTGAAACTTTTTATTTTAATTACAAAAAGTGGTTTTTGAAGGACCTTTTGTTTGAAAATTCGTGAATTTCTTTAAAACTAACTTTTAGAGGTTACACGTATCTTTTAATAAGCGATAAGTCATAGCATTCATACTCACATGTTTTTTGCCGAAAAAATTAAGAAAATCAGTTCATAAATAAGTGAGAAATGAACTCATCAATACATGAAAATGGTTCAGAGAAAAATGTCATCGATGACATCACTCAGGTTGCAAAATATTTTTGATATGCTAAAACATTGAAGTAGCACATTAGATATGTCATTTTATTATTGAAATAGTGTGTCCTTTGTTCAATCTTCGCATGGATGTTAAAAAATCAGCAAAAAATTATATTCGTTTTTTATTTTCAGCCATTTTAGTTAACATTGATTTCTCCATCTGTCTCGCAAAATCCACTTTTGGACTATTTGCTTTAAAACCTCTGTGGATAGGATTCCCTTTTTAAGTTATTTTTGTTAAACATCAATACAGAAAACTCCCCTATGACTCCTGGTTCAAAAGCTTGCCTATCTTCAAAATGGTCGCCATTTTTGTCTTGCGAAATTCACTTTTGGCCCATTTCCTAGCTTTACAGGTAATTTCAGGTGTCCTGCATTGTTAAAAGCCATGTCACTGTAAAGAGTAGTTGTATAAAACATCGGCAAAAAATTATATCCATTTTTTTATTTTCGGCCATTTTAGTTAACATTGATTTGTCCATCTGTCTCGTGAAATCCACTTTTGGACCATTTGGCTTAAAACCTCTGTAGATAAGATTCACGTTTTAAGTTATTTTTGTTCAACATCAATACAGAAAACTCCCCTATGACTCCTGGTTCAAAAGCTCACCTATTACTTTGATGTAAAGTTTAGGGCAACTACTTTTTAAATGTACCATTCTTAGAAAAAAGTTTGAAGTGTATAGTCTCTTAAACTTGAACTACTTTATTCATTAATTTTTTATCGATGAAGCAGGAATTTCACCTAAAAAAGAGTCCCTATCTTGGCGTAGTGATATTTAAAGATCAACACGCAAAACATGTGTTACATATAGTGTTAGGAATGAAGGGGAACGTGGAAATATAGTCATTATATGGGCTCTTCGCTTGAAAATGGCTATTATATATATATATATACCCCTGAACTTGAATTTTGTGATATTCAATTTTTTTCGATGATGTACCGTATTGACACCTTTATGAAAGCAGATTCTCTATGAGAATCTCAGATTTTGTAGAACATTTCTTTTCTAGATGTGCTGAATCTTGTAAGACATACATGTATGTACTATTTGCATTGTAAAAATGGATAAATGTTATGTTGGCCATTTTGGATTTTCTGTCCTAAAATCTTGTCTGTCAAGGCTTGTCTACAGGTTTCCAGGCAAACCGTTTCATGGATTCATCAAAAATTTTCAGGGATGTTTCTAAGTTTAAAAGTTTAGATCTTAGGCTGTCATTTTAGATTTTCATTCTGAAAATCTTGTTTGTCATGAAAACTGTATTATATTCAAGGGTGCGATTCTGTTCACTCTGTGTCTTGTTTTCTGTGGATTGATAAGCTTCTCAATTGACAAATGATTTTTACCTGTTTTGTTTGTTTAGCTGCATGAAGCTTCTGTGTAAAGTGGTTATGTGCTTCCAAAGATGGTACAACATTTGTAGACTTTGCTTTCGTTGCAGCTTGTTGAATTTTTGTAGGCTTCTTTGTTGTACTCTGACCCTTGAAAGTAAATCAAGAAAATTAATATTAAAACTAGATAATAGGAATGTCAAGGCGTAGCAAATCCCATCAAACTTATTTTGTTTTCATGACAGCAGATTTACGTTGAGACACTCAGATCTTGGGAGAAAATCTCTTTTACATTGGACAAATGTCTTAATCATTGATGAAAGATCTTGAAGTAGTTCCTTGTGCTGTATTTCTCAAGAATTTATGTTTAATCCTTCGGTCATTGTGCTTACATATCTGTGCTGAACCTACTTGTACTTTTTTATCTGGATTGATAAGTTTCTCAATTTACTAATGATTTTTACCTGTTTTGCTTGTTTAGCTGAATGTATGCTGTTCTCCGAGCTGTCGTGGGATCTCTTGGTTCCACCATGCATTAAAGTGTTAGAAGTCTGTCCAATAGAATTTGATGCAATAGGTTGGTTATTAAGTGCTTCCAAAGATGGTACAACATTTGTAGACTTTGCTGAAGCAGCTTGAGTCGTAGCAGGTTGTTGAATTTTTGTTGTACTCTGACCCTTGAAAGTAAGTCAAGAGATTCAATATTAAAACTAGATAATAGCAACGCCAAGGTGTAGCAAATCCCATTGAACTTCAAATGAGTGTCGGACGACACTGCGAGAAATCATATGGCCACCATAGATTGTATTGCCAAAAGATGCATGTACAAACGAAGTTCGGAGGGATATAGGGAACACCTCCGTCCGTCCGCCCATATATCCGTCCATATATATGTCTGTACGTATGTCTGTCCATCCGTCTGTCTGGGCAATAACTCAAATACCGTTTGCCTGATTTTGTTCATATTTTGTACACACATACCCTAGAAGTTCTGCTCGAAAGCCGATTTTCAAAATGGCCACTCACTTAACCTTTAGCATGCTGACTTAATTTGGCCATTTCATCGTGTGTGACTGACTTATTTTGCAAGGAAATGATATACTGGACTTATGATAAATATCTCAATTACTACTGAATGAATCTGGATAAAATTTTTACAAAAGGAAGATACAATGTCTGTTACCGTGATTATATATGTCTCATTTTTTTTTTTTTAATAAATAAACACAACTGTGCATACTAAACTATGAATACTCCTCCAGATACCACCGCTACGCCCCTTGGAAGACTCAGTGTCAGATCAGAATCCAAGTCTGAATTTGCAGCGATCTAATATTCAACTTTTCAGTTCAGAAAATATTCTAGTTTCTATTTTAGATGTCTATTATCAGTTTCCAAAAGCTTAAAGAGCTCAAAATCACAGTCCATATCCTCCACAATTTCATTATGATCGTATTTAGCCGCCATTTTGTTTGATTCCTCCACATTTCTCGGCTAAAACACCCTTTAAATTGTTGAATTGACAATTTTTCTTCAAAACATCGCATTTCTAGGTTACCCGGAAGTCACGTATGGCACTGAATCAGACATGTAATCTTATTGGATAATAAGAATGGCGCGAAAAAGTGAAGTTTTTAAAAGTTTAAACTGTGTCGACCGGATTCGCCGGCAGTCACACGGGATAGTAAAGCACGGGCGACTCCACTCGCCGGCAGCATGCTAAAGGTGGCCATTTGAGTGCCAATTTTACAGTAATTTAGGTACAATATGTAAAACTGTAATAGCAATATGTTTTATATGTAAAAAAATTAAATAGGACATTAATAAAACTAGAAATGTAGATATCGAAGAAGCATATGGCATCTTGAAAAATGGCGGCCTTTGCATGCTATTTTAAGATTTTTGCTATTATTATCCCAACGAACGAAGTTCGATAGGGATATAGTGAAGCCCTCCGTCCGTCCATCTGTCCGTCAGTCAGTCAGTCCGTCCGTCTGTCCGGAAGATAACTCAAATACTAGTAGACGGATTTTCTTCATATTTAGTGGAAAGATGTATATTGGTGAATAGTTTTACGCAAAAAAAAAATGACGGGACTTTTTCGCAAAAATCATAAATTTTTCATTCTAAACCAAAGTAATTAATTCTATTGTTTGAAATTTTGGTAGTATATTCACAACATTTATCTATTTCACATTTATTCCGTGTTTTTCATCCTGACCACCAGGGGCTGTGTATGGGGGGAAAACAGAAATTTTCGCTAATTTTGAGATCTTTCTGAAGTATAGCTTTATTATACTCAAATAAAAGGCAATTAAGAGTAGATTGCAAATATTGTATCTTTTTTCTGATTTGAGCCTCGTAAAATTCAAAATGGCCGTCTAATGTATGATTTCGCAATAATTTTTCGATTCCTTCAAAGTATGGCTATATTATACTCAAATTGAAGGAATTTTGGAGTAGATCACAATTATGGTATTATTTTTCAGATTTGTATCTCAGAAAATTCAGAATGGCTGCTTTGCAGGAATTCGCAATTCTAAAATCTAATTTTTTCAATTTTAACCACTGTAATGAGTATAATTGATTGGAATACGGTAATTGATATATTGTTCGTTGGGATTTGCTACTCCGCAGAGTTGCCGTTATCTAGTTTGAAAAGTGGTGGAGCAATTTTGTTCATATTTGGTATGTGAATACTATAAGCATGTCACACTGTCTAATAGAGAGATTTCGCACCTAGTGAAAGTACAACTTATAACGTATACTTATACTTATAGGTAAACGTACAAGGTGTTTCATAATGTGAGCTTTTCCTCAGGAAAGATCTTCTCGGACTGTAATAAATACAGGTCAAAGGGATGCCATTTGTACTTTCTTGAATTGTAGCATGTTTAGTTGATCCAAATGTGTTTGTCTAGAATAAAATAGGCTCATATATAGTACATATGGTATAGACCCATCTCTTCTCAAATTGACTTTTTGGAGATGCTCGTTATGAAACACCCTGTATGTCATATGTTGAGCTACTGAATGGGTCGTTTCCAGGAATTGCTAGAACCTACTGGTTTGATTGGTGTTTCAAATTGATGGTTAAAGTATTTGATTGGATACTGTTCCCACTCAGCCAATTAATTTTAAAAAATGCTTGCGGTCAATTGTTCCACACACATGTAGGCAAATCTTTATACGGAGATCCAACTGTATACGTTATCACCTACGTAAATATACCGTTTTGTAAGTTCATTGAACTTATACTGATCATGAAAACATTGAAATAATCAACTTGTTTATGTAATGACTCACTTTAAAGAATCATGACTCCCTTTAAAGGATCGTGTTTATAATACACTACAACTACAATGACACGGAAGCAAGCATTTAATTATAATGTGCATAATCTACACATGCAGATGACAGTGCATTCATAGTCCCTAGTTGATGGAGCTTTTCTATAACGGGAATAGTTATGTTCCATTAAGCACAATTTAAAATTGATTTTAGTAAATATAATAGTTCGACATGACCCTTTAAACTATACGTTTATGTATAAGTTGTACTTTCACTTACCGTATTCTCTCCAATAAACGCACAGTGCGTCTACCAAATTCTCCTGGAGGAGATGTCTCAAATGACAAAATCCCCGGGGATTTGTGAAAAAAAATTTGGGCGATAATAGGGTGTTTCATGATTTTCCTCTTTAAAACTAGACTCACTCCAACTAGATAACATATTATCATACCTCAATGATTTCCTCATGCATTTATCAATCTGCTGAATGTGTTTCCGTGGGTTAATTGGCATTATAATACCTGAATACGCATCAATATTGATGATAAACATCCACTGCAATTGCTCCGAGCAGGCGCCATTTTGGAAATTGACACCGATACCTGAGTCAAAATCTAAAGGCTTCTTGTATCTGAATGGTCCTCATAGTTGGTGAAAATATGTTTTATATCCATAAAATGCTACTTAACATTTATAAAGGATTGAATATTTGTTTGTGGGAAAGGGCAGAAGAATATTTATAGATCGGAACTCCCATGATGCACTGCGAGTTTGAGTAATGGCGACGGGCCCGAATTAACGTTCATAGTAGCTTTTAACTCATCACTATAAGGTTATCATGAACGTAGTTATAGCTCATAAGGTTCCTTAGACACGTCTGTAACAGCATTATACTCACAAACGGCTCTATCGATAGCGGTAAGTGAATAATTCAATATTACCCTATTATCGCCCGCTCGAATAAATTATAGATCTTGATCTATTTTTTCTTGATTTTTGTTTTTCAAGTTGCCAGTCTTTCTTGGAAAAGTCGGGTGTGCGTTAATTGGAGTGTGTGCCTTTATTAGAGATAATACGGTATGTGCGAAATCTCTCTAATAACACTTTTGGTAGAAGGCAACCATTTTGAAAAATGGCCACCATTTTTACGTTTTTTACTATAACTCAAAAAGTGGCGGAGCGATTTTGTTCATATTTGGTGTGTGATTACTATAAGACACGCTGTCTAATTACATTTTGGCAAGTAGGGGGCCCTTTTGAAAAATGCTCACCATTTTTACATGTGCTATTTTACGTTTTTTACTATAACTCAATAACTACTAGAGCGATTTTGTTCATTTTTGATATGTGAATACTCATAAGCATGGCACACTGTCTTATGACATTTTGGCAAGTAGGCAGCCATTTTTGACATTGTCGTGTATGTGTGTGCGATTTTGTTGAAATTTTATATGTGCCTACTATAGAAGCATATTATACTTTCAGATGACAATTTGGCTATAGTTAGCAACCATTTTGAAAATGTGGTCATTTTTTATGTGTTGTTTTATGATTTTTGCTAATTATACTTTGTTTGTAAAAATGCCAGCTATGGCTGTTCGATGGGATTTACTATGCTTTGGCGTTATTGTTGTCTAGTTAAACTTCAGGAAAATTACTATTCTACTTTTCCATTAAAGGACATTAAACAGAGCGACACCATTTTTCAAAACAGCCGCCTATTAGCCCAAACAATTTCAACAAAATCACCTTATTACTTAAGTCTGATGCCTATGCCCATGCTGCAAATATTTTTTATAATTTTTCAACTTTTCAAACACTAAAAAAGAGTTTCAGGTGAATGCAAGCCTAGGCCAACAAAAAACTTTTCCAGTTATAGCGTAAAAATAAAAACACCAGCAAAAACTGCCACTATTTTTCAAATGTCATAAGATTAAGTAATATGCTTGTAGGTAGACCTATGCAAAATTTGGTTAAAGGAATCCTTTGAAATAGTGTATTCACAAGATCAGTGAGCCTCCATATACCTATAATTTAAGCAATCTAAAAAATGTTTACATCTACTGAATACATAGAAAATTCATGTACTGTAGATAGGGTTAATTTGGCGCCGGCTTTAATTTGGCGAATTTGGCGAAATTGAAAAATTCGCCAATATAAATCTTCGCCAAAATTTAGAATGAATCCCCGGGAATTATCTAGGGTATTTCGTTCAGTGTATTTAGGTCACTTCCGGTTTAGTTTTTTCCAAAAATATGAAAAAACGTCTCATAAATTGGCTCAGAACTGGTCAGTCACTCATTATTACTCAGGAAAAACTAGGAAGGAAAAGCGCGGTATAGTAGCAGCATCGATCGAGATGCAAAATTTAAAGGATGATCTCACAAAAATGTACAAACATGGTGAATATCGCCAGTGGTGCTCACTATAGAAAAAAATGAACATAGTCAAACATGCCAAATTTTTTGCATATCCGCCAAATTAAATAGCCGCCAATATGCCAAAAATGGCAAAATAGCCAAATTAAGTAGCGCCAAATTAACCCAATCTACAGTATTGACCCATGTCTTATTACAATTGCAGGGTCAGATGAATTAAACCAAACATTTCTGTGATCTCACATAGCCATTCACATATGAATTTGTATTTTACTCTATTTGTTATGTTATTTATGTTCAAAGACTACTTACAGATTTATTTTCACATGTTTTCTTGCATGTTTTACATTCTGTAGGGTCACATGGTTTTAACCTGTCTCTGCAGGGGCATTTGATGGTCTTACACTTTGATTTACAATCACACCCCATTATTCCATCTAAAATACATGACAACATACAATATCAAGTTTTAATTTAAATCTTGGCAAAATTTCCATCAGTGTCATGATATAAGGACGAGATTTTTATCGTACCTAATAAAGGTACGATATTGTAGTCAGCTTGACGGGCGGGCGGCGTCTCACTTTTCAGCTTGTCTACAGGTTTCCAGCCAAACCATTTGACAGATTCATCTGAAATTTTCAGGAATGTTTCTACGTATCAAAGTTAAGAACTGATTAGTTTTTGGGCATTCTGGGTAAATTTTAAGGTGGCCATTTTGGATTTTCCATCCTAAAATCTTCACTTTCAAGACTTGTCTACAGGTTTCCAGCCAAACCATTTGACGGATTCATCTGAAATTTTCAGGGATGTTTCTACGTATCAAAGTTAAGAACTGATTAGTTTTTTGGCATTCTGGGTAAAATTAAAGGTGGCTATTTTTTGGATTTTCCGTCCTAAAATCTTCACTTTCAAGACTTGTCTACAGGTTTCCAGCCAAACCATTGACGGATTCATTTGAAATTTACAGGGATGTTTCTACATATCAAAGTTAACAACTGATTTGTTTTTGGGCATTCTGGGTTAATTTTAAGGTGGCCATTTTGGATTTTCCGTCCTAAAATCTTCACTTTCAAGACTTGTCTACAGGTTTCCAGCCAAACCATTTGACGGATTCATCTGAAATTTTCAGGGATGTTTCTACATATCAAAGTTAAGAATTGATTAGTTTTTGGCATCCTGGGTAAAATTTAAGGTGGCCATTTTGGATTTTCCGTCCTAAATCTTCACTTTCAAGACTTGTCTACAGGTTTCCAGTCAAACCATTTGACCGATTCGTTTGAAATTTACAGGGATGTTTCTACATATCAAAGTTAACAACTGATTAGTTTTTGGGCATTCTGGGTTAATTTTAAGGTGGCCATTTTTGATTTTCCGTCCTAAAATCTTCACTTTCAAGACCTGTCTACAGGATTCCAGCCAAACGATTTAATGGATTCATCTGAAATTTTCAGGGATGTTTCTACGTATTAAAGTTAAGAACTGATTAGTTTTTGGGCATTCTGGGTAAAGTTTAAGGTGGCCATTTTGGATTTTCCGTCCTAAATTCTTCACTGTCACACTGCTGTGTTTTAGGTACGATATTGTTCAAGTCTGTGCCTTGTTTTGTTTTTTGTGCTACTTTTGGATGTAAACAAATTGTATATTTTTACACCTTTTTAAAACAGCCAAGTGCATTTCCAGAGTCCAGTAATATATTAACATACCGTTTTTAAAAACAAAAACAATTGGCCAAAAGTAGCACATTTCCAGAAAACAAAGTCCATCCTATTGATAGATTTTCCCTACCTTTTTTAAAAACTTGTGTTTTTGTTAAAACAAAGTGGCACATTTCAAAAATATAAGCCAATCCAGCTAAGCCAGTCCAGTCCATCAATAGATATTCATACCCTTTTAAAAAAATTGCACAAAATAAAAACCCAAAAATCTCTACCCTATATTGTGACATGAATCAAAATTTCTGGGCACCAAATCTGAAAATTTGGGACCATTTTCTTAGCAATAGGCCCAAAATTGGAGAGTAATGGGTTTTTGGGCCTCATTTTTTATCTGCCACTGCCTTCAAGGACACACCAATTTCTGTATTAAATAACGATGATATTTGTCATTGTTTTTAAATAACTTTTCAACAAAAATGGAGTTGAAGTAACAAAATTTGGGATATGGGGATGTCAGAGTGAAATAGAGAATTTGTATCCTGCAGTGTTGAAGTACAGAAATTTTAGATTTTTATCACATGGGCTATTAATCAGATCTGTATCTTTTGTGACTTATTTTGACAAATAACACTGATTCATAAATACATGCCAACTCATTACTAGGTATACATTTTGTTAGTGGAAAATAATTAACCCAAAGAAAATACTGTGATTCTTTATGAGTTGGTAATTGATCTATAAATTAGACATTCAAAAACAGGAAAATTTATATAATTATTTAGAAAATAGTGGGTTGCATTTTTTTGGGGTCAACCTGTTCATAGTTTCTCAACTGGTAAAAAGATGGCAGGACTATAAAATAGATCTCTGTTTCGACTCAACTGGCCACCCCAGCGGTTTAATTCAATTAAAACTAAAGAAAATATCAAAACCAACATTTACCATCTGTCATTTTAAACATTTTTGAACTTTTTCCAGATTTTCATATTAATCTTGAAAACATGTGTCTTCCCCAGATCATTAAGAAAAAAGGCTTGACTCTATCTTATCCCAATTTTAGCAATCCCAAAAATTGTCTGCATTTTCTGATATCATTCATCACCCATTGAAAATTTAAACATGGGCCCCTGTCTTATTACAATTTAGTTCAAAGAACCATCTCTAGATTTTGAAATTTTGACTCACTGTTGTGAGCTGATAATTTTCTATGACTTCCATGATCAAGTTATTTTTGAAAATAAATGCATGATGGGGCTCACGAAGGGTAAATTAAAATGATAAAATTGAGATTTTTATTTAATTGAATTATAAATGATTCAATACACTGGAATAAACATTCTGAAAATAAGGCTCATTGTAACACCTTCCACTCGATCTGTCAATTTTTTATCAATTTCTGTTTTCTTCACATGTAATGAAAGCGGAGTATCCATCTCGAAGTGACATTACTTATGACATTGTAGAAATTCAGTAATATACTGAGTAGGCATAAAATAGGCCATACTTTGACACTCGATATCTCCAAAATTCTCTTACTTCTACTTCTAAAAATTGACACACTCAACAGCCATCATGTCCTAATTATAACATTTCTGTTCATGGGACCAAAATCAAAAGTCAAAAATGCATGTTCTGGACATTTCAAAATGATGTCTTTCTTTGTTTCACTTGAAAAGGTGATCAACTGGTCCAGGTGATCAACTATTCATGATTTCAAATATAACAACTGTGAAGGAAATTCTTAGATTGTAAAAACTCTAAGATTATTATTTTGTAATGTACATGTATATATGTTATTTGGAATAAAAAAAACTGGTCCGCCATCTTCTCAGTAGACAGTGCACAAACATTTCTTCCAAGAATATGTTCAAGTTGTTTCTTAATATGGAGGTATGAATCTAATAAAAAAAATTAATCATAGATCTTGAGTAACCATAGTGGAAATTCCTTCTCATGTAACGGTCCTGTGTCTAGTATAGACAAGTTCAACTTGCCAAGTATACCCAAAACTCAACTGAAACCTGGCAAAATTCATTTTGTCTTGTATATTATAATGTAAACCCTGGTACAGTAGACGGCTTTTAATTCTGTTCCGTCACAATAAAAAGGCTGGTTAACATCACGGGCTGGTATCGAAATATTTGTCCGCTGTGACGGAGCATGCTATTTTTCATAAGAACACTAAGAATATTTCAAGATTTATTTTTTAACTCATATGTTTCGCTATACCATAGAAAATTACTTACTCCATGCAATGGATATATCATTTGCGGGTAACTTTCACTTCTGTTTGAAGTTCAATTACGCTGGGAAGAAAAGCTATTGAATATGGCGCCGGAGTATCATACTTCAAAATGTACCATTTCTTGTTTAACTTTCTATTGGCACGATATAGTGACACGATAATATTTACACTTGGTTTCAGCATAACTAAGAAGGTATAGATGAGATGTTGATGTATTTGGTCTTTTTAATTCTTTTATAAAAAATAATTTTTAATTTTTCTGTCCGCTGTGACGGAGCATTTTCAAATGTGAACTGTGAAAATGCTCCATCACAGCGGACAAAAAATATTAATATTATTTTTTATCAAAAAAATTAAAAAGACCCAATGCATTAATATCTCATTAATACATTCAGAGTTATGCTGAAAACATATGTTAATATTATCGTGTCACAATATCATGTCATTAAAAAGTTAAAAAAGAAATGGTTCATTTTAAAGTTTGATACTCTGGCGCCGTTTTCAATAGCTTTTACTCATAGCGTTATTGGACTTCAAACAGAAGTGACGGTTACCCGCAAATGATATATCCATTGCATGGAGTAAGTAATTTTATTTGATATAACGAAACATATGAGTTAAAAAATAAATCGTGAAGCATTCTCAGTGTTTTTATGAAAAATAGCATGCTCCGTCACAGCGGACAAATCTTTCGATACCAGCCTGTGAACATGTTAAACACATAAACTTGAGGAAGTGGTTCAATCATTGCAATCAACAAATTAATAATAATCAGTTTTCAAATTTTTATGTCACCATCAGAAGTGGTGACATATTGTTATAGTCTTCAACTTTTTTAAATGAGAGAATTGTGATTTGAGATGCTCTCGTGAATTTTTTCTTTGTGCTTTAGATATGATCTGTATATGACATCATCTTGGCCCCTATCAATTACAATTTTATGCATGTTGGATATCAATTTTCAGTATGATTCTTTATCTTCCTAATGACATTGTGATAATAACCTTAACATTTTGTGAGGGAGAGAAGTTGTGGGACTAATCATATTTGAGGTAATCAAAAGACTCTAGTTGTCTTTTTTCTAAGTTGTTGTACAAAGGTTTCCATCCTAGATCTCCTATAATGCTTCTATGAATTAAGTTTGGAAACAGCTGATTTAGGAAGAACCCATTAGGGGCAACCATGTAAGAGGCCAGGCATCATCATTGAATTGAATATTGTGAAAGATATGGCCAAGTGGGTACGACCAAATGTAGTAGAGTGGAGTGGGTTGGTTGGAATATCTTGATAGATTACAAATACACAAAAAATTTACATATAAAATCTTAAAAAGTTTATTATTTCAAAAATATATTAAAAATCAATATCAAAATACTCAAATTATGAATCTGAATAGAACAATTCAGATATAAATACCAAAACTGAATCTGAATAAAATAGTTCAAATAATTATATAACATTTACTTACATAAACCAAATCGAGGCTCAATTCACATTGGAAATCACATTTGGGAGTCTGGAATGAAATAATGGAAATATTTTATATATGCTTTATACATGTACAATGTACATGTATATGCAAATGCACCAAATATGATTTGTCGATGCAATATTGATTGGATCAACAAACCATATGACAATTTAATGAAGTACAATAATCTATAAAATTTATTTAGACAAGATATCACAGTAATATATAAAATTAAGGCTCAATTCATGTATAATTAACTCACAACAGTAATGTATTTAAAGTGAGATTCAACATTTTATTGGAATAATATTTATTTATCACAGTATGAATATTTTGCAAAATTCACTCTTGAGAATCTCATAAAAGTAAGTTTCAACTTGTAATTGAGTATTATTCTCTGATTCAAATTAATTCATTTACTTCATAATATAATATTGCACATGTTTTCGACATATTTAATTGAGCACAGAAATTATGACATACAGATAAAAGTTGCATACACCCAATTAGCACATACCATGATATTCAAGGCTAATAAATTAATAATTTTATATGGTTTATAAGTGTTTGAAATTGAATGGACAAAGGTTGGGGAATAATTTGAAGTAAATTGAACTTAGAATGGATTTTAAATAAAATATGCTAGAAGAAATGTTTACTCATAGAGATATAAAGAATACTAGACCTTGCATTGGTGTTTTTTTAAACTTGATGAGAAAAGTGACTGAACATATTGTTCTCTCATGTCTATACACTTAGCAAGGTTTCGTCAAGCAAGTAAGATGAACGATTTATTCACATGGTCACATAATCACACTACTATACCTAACACCTAGAAATGCATAAGATACTTTGTTTGTCTAATTGAATTGTTTAATATATTTTTGAAAGTGCCTTACTAGCATCTAATTTTCAACCGATAAACCATTCATAAGGAACAGACAAATAAAAACAAATACATAATCATTACTAATAAGCCAAATGGGTTGCTCATGAACACCAAATGCAAGGTATAGTAGTGTGATAATGCAACTGGACAATTGAATGTGTTCCGTTGCCTACATGCACGAGATGCGATCCAAAAGTCTTGGATGCCCTGCTCTAACTTTGCTATTTTTTAATATAATTACATGAATTACATAATTACATGATTACATATTTTAGCTACTGTTCTAAGTGTTTTTAATATGGGGTCCCTGCTACCCAGAACGGTATTTAAAAAACGGAAATCACGTCACAAGTGTTTATATGGCAAATACAGATTGTACTTTAGGTGCAGGTGCACAACCTAACACCAGTCATGATATGGGGGAATTTCTGATTTTTCAATCTGAGTGTCATCTGCCATCATCATCATCTTCACAACATAATTTCCACAAATTTGAACACATTTTTCGTACCACTTTACCCATGAATTGAAGACATTTATGAAACCGCCATTGCTTGTGATACAAATGCTCCTTGAGTGCCACTCTAATCCTTTTAATTTGGAGAAAAGGAAAAAATTTTCACGGAGCCATATCTAGACTGCACGCTGAAAGTTGCCATGTGCGAATACCGTTCAAGTTGGCAGGGTCCCTCTATTAAAAACCATCCAGAAAACTACATAAAATATATTATTTCTCCATGAAAGTAAAATACAAAGTAGTGAGTTGTTGGTCTTTCTTATTGGAATGTTTTAAGTAATTTTGTTAAAAACAAACAAAATTAGAGAAGGGCATCCAAGACTTTTGGATTACCCCTCGTATATGTGAAAATGGAAGCATTATTATTCAGATTGGTTCTGTGCATATTGGACATTAATGAGATAGAAACCCGGGGATAGGAAATAATATACATGACCCAGATATACATAATTCTTACCAAAAGTTAGCCAAACTAATTGACAAACCCTGACAGTAATGCATCTTTACAGATGCAAGAGCAGACTAGTACCAAGATCTGATTAGGTTGAGGGCATGCTGGGTAAACTATGTGGCGGCCATTTTTAATTTTTCAACAAATCTTGTCATCAAAATTCCAGGAAAACCACTTATCCGTTCAACTTGAAATTTTTACAGATGCAAGAGCAGACTATTGCCAAGATCTGATTAGGTTTTGGGTATGCTGGCTGAATTACATGGTGGCCATTTTGAATTTTTCAATTTGGCGGCCATTTTGAATTTTTCAACTTGCTCCAAATTGACCAAATTTTTTTTTAAAAACATCTACAAGTTCTCAGAAGTTCAAATCTGACCTTAGATTTCAGATTTGACCTTTCATTCACCTTCAGTGACCTTGAAAAGGTCAAAAAAGTTGATTTTCTAAATTGATATTTTGGATTTAAATTTAGGTCAGCTTAATTACAAAACACTTACTGAGGTCTGAAAAAGTTAAATTTTCAAGGTCGAAGGTCAAGGTCATTAAACTAGGTCACAAATGATGTTATCCAAGTTTCTCAAAGTTTGAGACTACAAATCAATTCTTGTCATCAAAGTTCCAAGAAAACCGCTAACCTGTTCAACTTGAAATTTTTACACATGCAATAGCAGACTAGTGCCAAGATCTGATTAGGTTTAGGGCATGCTGGGTAAACTACGTGGCGGCCATTTTGAATTTCTCAACAAATCTTGTCATCAAAATTCCAGGAAAACCACTTATCCGTTCAACTTGAATTTTTTACAGATGCAAGAGCAGACTATTGCCAAGATCTGATTAGGTTTTGGGTATGCTGGCTGAATTACATGGTGGCCATTTTGAATTTTTCAATTTGGCGGCCATTTTGAATTTTTCAACTTGCTCCAAATTGACCAATTTTTTTTTTAAAAACATCTACAAGTTCTCAGAAGTTCAAATCTGACCTTAGATTTCAGATTTGACCTTTCGTTGACCTTCAGTGACCTTGAAAAGGTCAAAAAGTTGATTTTCTAAATTGATATTTTGGATTTAAATTTAGGTCAGCTTAATTACAAAAGACCTACTGAGGTCTGAAAAAGTGAAATTTTCAAGGTCGAAGGTCATCAGATTAGGTCACAAACAATGTTATCTAAATTTTCCCAAAGTTCAAGACTACAAATAAATTCTTGTCATCAAAATTGCAGGAAAACCGCTAACCTTGTCAACTTGAAATGTTTACAGATGCAAGAGCAGACTAGTGCCAAGGTCTGATTAGGTTTTGGCCATGCTGGGTAAATTGCATGGTGGCCAGTTTGCTCTTCAAAGTACGATATTTATCACTGTGTGTCTTGTTTGGAATGAAAGTTGTCATGTCGGCCATTTTGAAATGTGTTACCCACGTGGATCGAAAATTTTAAATTGCGTTGAAGCAAGAAACACATTTTTTTAATCATTTTTATTTCAAGTTCATATATTATAACATTTAATATCATACGATGAAAATTCAACAAGGTTAATCAATTTAATATTTGTGTTGAACTTCGAAGTAAATATACCATGCATTCAATACAAATACAAAGGGTCTAGTGCACTTTCCATTATGATTTCCCCATGAACAAAATGAATCATTTTTAGGTGTAACATAAAGAATACAATGTTACATAATACTTTGGAAAATATTTATGCATTTGGACCCACATGGGCGGAGGTTGAGGTCATTAAGTTTAGCAAGGGTGTATTGACTTGACATTGGATGTGTTCTATTGACTTAACATGTGAATACCATCAGATTCAAATGGAGGCCATTGGTTTCTATTGATTTTCACAAAAATACCTAAAATATACTATGACCTGAATCGATTGCAAATTAAATAATTTCACAATATGACACAAGTGGTATATCACATCAGATGTGCAAATATAAAGTTTGCAATTGATTCAGGTCATACTTCAATTACTCAGATGTGAGTAGGTAGTTACCAGTTTTGCCACCAGGTGGCTGATTCGGGGGAAATAACATGGCAGGGTATTACAAAATTCCTGTAAACTTGAATATTCATGAGTTTTAGTGGTTCACTTTTCATATTACCCTCTATATGTATCTGATAGTTATACAAATTAAAATATGTCCAGTAAAAGAAAATATTATCTACCCAACACAAGAAAAGATATTTCCATTTTTGTGATTTTACACTATGGGAAATCTCCCCGACCTAGAAGTCACATTTTCAAAGAAAATTAGATTTTCAAAAGTTGATAAACTCTTTTCAAAACCATATTTTTAGATGTAATTTTACATGTAGATTCCAAATATGACATCAGTTTGACTGAATTTTGATCTAGGAAATTTAAAAGATTATACATTTTGTCATCGTTTTTTCCTTACAAAATAGCTATAGAAAAATGCTTCAAAAGCAACTTTTACACTTATGAAATCCCATACAACTTTGTAAATCCAAAGATTATACTGTTATGTTTCATTTATTAATAACATATTTGGATAAGATGTAGGGATGTGTAGGATGCAATTGCAAATGGATTTTGACAGACACAAAAAGACTTCCTGGTTTGGCATCTCTACCTCTGTACACTTTATGATTGAATATTGGCCCTAATAAGTGGCCCATTCATCAATACAGTGCTGAATATAGGTCAACAAGATACTAGTGTACATATAAATGTAATGATAAAAGCAGTATATTCATTTTGAAAAATCAGATGAATTTATTTTTTTTGTTCATGGGGAGATCATAATGGCGGGTGCACTAGATCCTTTGTTACAATTATTCATAACTATTCATATATAAACAAAAAGGAAAAAACACAATCAAGGCTGATATTAGAATGCTTTACAAAAAAGGTGTGCAGTGGTGTGAATTATGGTGTAGTGTAGTATACATGTTAGTCAATCTTGGCTGCTTTTAGGAATTTTAAAGTTGCTTTCAGAAGAAGTGTTTTATCTTCATTACTAAGTTCAGTGTTACCATGCAAAAGCATATTTACTTTGCTAACAGAGTTAGCATCTAAGAATTTTTCTAAACAACCAATAATATGGAGCTCTATAAGAAGTTTGATTCTATCATCTACAAGTTGAGGGCATTTGAGGAAAAAATGAGTAGGGGTTTCATTTTCATGACCACAGTTACAAGCTGGTGAGTCAATGTTCGTAAAATGATGAGCAAATAATTGACTTTTTAAAAATAGGTCCACTTTAAACCTGTTAAATATAATTTCAGTTTTTGTAGTGATATCAAAAGATGCTATAACACTTATACATTTTTCATTCCCGAAATGCAATCTAAGTTTGCCTTTAAAAGTTCATATTCTATTGCAATTTCTTAAATTGTTAGGCAGACCATGCATTCAATTCTTCAATCAAAGCAAAGTATGCAGTTTTTCTAAATGAAATGCTGATATTTAGAGGCACATTATACTGTCTGACAGCCCTTAGGATTCTATTTGGTTCATGTAAGTATTTGTTAAATAATTCAGTGACATATGAAGCTGATAAATTAATTCTACTTTTAAATAGAAATGAGCAAAGATGGCTTCTTCTTCTCTCAGACAAAGTAATCCAATTTAATGTCTCCAAGACCTTATAGGTGCTTGAACATGCAGAGCACCAGAAATTAGACAAGCTGCATTATAATCCCGGGATTATATATCACGATGCCCATGTCAAGCAGCGTGCCTACTAGGCACGCAGTTTGAAACTCTGACAAACTGCGCGCATATTTCAAAATGTGAGACGGGGAGGACACGACTCCCAAAAAGAGCCAAAATACGAAAAATACAAGGTTAGTCTCGTTCTAAAGATAGTACCATTCTGTGAAGATGAACTTAATTTACTCATAGTACTCGATGTTTTTCCCGATGTAAACCTAGTTATCTCAATATAAGGGTCTTAAGTAACTTCTGTGTTCGGAATTTACAGTGTAAAGTTATATCTATGTCTTTTTATCGTCATTTGCCGTTTATTCAGCCATTGTGTCTGTGTATGCTAGAATATATAGGATCACTCCATCTGATTAAAGCAGCAAAGTTTGTGTTCAAAACGATAATACGCCATAAACGTGATTTAAACATTTTTCTTGTCAAACTGCGCGCCTATATTCACATGTATTTCCCAAACTGCGTGCCTAATATTTCCAAACTGCTTGACTATCCAAGCTTGTTTTGTATTATTAGAAAACATAAGCAACATACAAGGCACATATGTGTCTACTAGTAGAACCCCATAATTGAAACACTATGAGAGTCCATCCACCAAGATGGTGATCTGAAAATAAAAGTTTTTTTCGTTCCCAACTTAATTGTCACTTCTATTATACATTTTGACTTTCAATATAAAAATCTCATAAAATCTGACGATAAAGCAAAATTTCCAAAGCTACATGAAAAACACCTACACGTGCCTCTGTAGAAATTCCAATGATAATATGTAGTTTTAATAGTGTTTGCGCACAGTTTGTAATTTCTGGCTAAAATAGGCACGCAGTTTGTGGTTTATTTCTTTTTAATCTCCTGATTATCTGTTTTATCTCGAAATATTTTGAATTATACATGATAAATGCGTAAGGAATTAAATATAAAACGAGTCTAAAGTATTTGTCATTTATGTTTAAAGTGCTAGATCGATTTACGTATAAATTCCCGTTAAATCAGTGACGAAAATGCCATTAATCTGCTTATGTTTTAAAACTTAGATTCATTTGCACATAGTTTTTGCTAGTATTTGCAAGATTCGTATATTCCCCACAGAATGAACGCATTGAACAAGAAAACAATGCAGGATAAATGTCTTTAAATTACGTTTCAAAATACAGACTCCAACTTAAATGATCCAATATTCTTAGGCACGCAGTTTGTGATCGAAACAAACTGCGCGCCTAAGTAGGCGTGCAGCTTGACATGGGTACCGTGTATATGCTACCTTTCAAGTTGTAGCAATATTTGGAGCACTACTGTAAATTATATCAGCATAATCAATTTTACTTAGAATAAAGGAATTATATATAGTTTCCAAATGTTTCGAATGAAGAAGGCGAGTTAATTGTTTAAATAGATTTAAGATTGTCTGTAAATAACTGACTGAATAATCTATATAATTTGATCATTAGTTCCCTTGTATTGAAACCACTTGACACATACCTTAAATTTGCAGAATCTGTTAGTTATAAAGTGAAGATTTTGCCCATCTCTAGCTACACAACAACATCTTGTTATGTCTTGTTACGGTTAAGAAACGACTTCAGAATATATGTCAAAACGAAGCGATCCTATATTTCACGTGATTTATAGTATGTACTTGGAAGAGTGATGATGTAATGCTTTATGATTGGTTCATTTCTCCAAAATATCAGTACTAGACTCGAATTGACCAATCACAGGTCTGTTTTCACATGGTTACTTTCTTAGCCCGTGTCTCATGAATAATTCATGAGTTCCACGATTTGAAATGTTGTGAACTTCTGACCCTTTAGGGCCAAAGTAAAATACATGTGTTTTATAATATAAGGCCAAAGTAAAAAGTTATATTCTCCGATTATTATAACTACCATATATCAATTGTATTACCAAAATTAAACCATTTAACAGTACAGTGTTTTGCCAGGGTCATGGTGACATAATTTCTTTATGTACTTATTTTTCCTTTCAATATATTTAATGTGGGATGATTCTTAAACAGAATACCTAGATAGTATAAGGTTTCCCAAATACCACTTTTTACTGTGATCAAGCAGTTTCCCAATTATCATTTTGATTTTTATAATTTTAGAAATATGTATCAGTGAAAAATCTCTCTTGATGAAAATCCTATACTATAACACGGTGTTATAGCATGACGGTTATGTCAAGGCGATTTGCAAAATTTTGTGGTAACGATAACAAAAAATAGCGGATGGGAAAGACAGCATGTCCTCTTTCTCGCCTGTAGGCAAGATTCACAGATAAGATTTCCTTTTCAACTAGTTCCATTCGGTGACGTATATATGGATGGTTATAAAGACTGGGTCAAATCTGCCAGGTGGTTTGCTAGAAGCAGAATATAAGCTATAAAACTTACCGACTGAGATGTCCAAGTTTATAATTTTTAGTCCATTCTCGTGATTTCTCAGTATATGTGCCTCAGAGCCACTCAAACTATTAACAGTAAGTAAACTGTGTATAAACAAGCCATAAAATGACAAATCCAGAACAGGAACGTGGTCATATTGTAAATAATAAGGTTTCAAACACAATGTCGTTAGACGACTACGTATGAATTCTATGGACAGAAACGTATTGTATTAGTTGTACATTAGATATTTAGTGGACGTTTACGCGCATGTACACCTTCAAGTCAAGGTTCCCAGTTCTGAGAGCCTCTTTCCATGTAATTGTTATAATGGGTAAGAAATGGAATATTAAATTGCTTATATTTGTTTTCAGGACTAGCAAGAGACACTCTTGTTTGAGAACTCCCGTGCAGTGATATATCACTGCGGCGGGCAGGTATCTCACCGTAAGCATGGTAACTTCGTAATAAACAACTGACATGATTGGTTCTAGTCCCATGCTCAGGTCGCATGATTGTAAAATCTAGACAATTTCATTGGTTGAATTGCGCGTATTAACTAATAAACAACATGTGCGGTAAACTATTATCAACACAACTTTTACTCAGAATCCCTTCCGCCGTGATTTCTTCTCATATTTCAATAATTTTGAAATATTTTGACAAAATAATGTTTGGGGAACATTCATGAATACATATTTTATAAGTTGTGTGAAAATTGACCACATATATGATGAAAAGGGGAACTATTTTCCCCAAATTTTGGGGATTTGCTTCATCTGCCCGCCGCAGTGTCTATACCGAGACACTGCATGGGAGTTCGTCTTGTTTGAGCCTCTATACGATAAGGAAAAAATTGTGTCTTGCTTTATTTATGAAACCAATTTAAGTCAAAAAGATAGCAATGAAGAGGCAAAAGAAGAATTAGCATCAAGTACTGATGTACAAAATTAATAACAATGAATCTGGGATACATATTTGAACGAGGTTCGCGTAACCGTTAATCAATTTTTTGCGTAACTGCAAATTAAAAATACAATATTATGGCTTAGGTAGAACATATTAGGTGGTTTCCAATGCTCAATTGGCTTTTTATGATCGTATGTAGGTTACATCTATATTCCCCGAGGTCGTTAGGCAATGTAGACCATGCCCTAACAACAAAAATGAACAAATTACTAAATCTTGTGTAGTTTTGAATTTCAAACTCAACAGTTTTTCGCTTATTTCATGTTATCCCCGGGGTTTGTGTAAAAAACCGGTCGACCAGGTACCTAACATTCCTAGCAGGGTTACCAACTTTCAAAGTTCCACATTTCCCCCGATATATAGTAGCGAATTGACTTGACAGACTACCGAGTGCACTGCTGTTCGATATTTTTACCCTATACGAGACAGAGCACTTTTTAAAATAGTTGATCCAGCAAACAGTGACGTCCATGTCACGTTGCTCATAAGTAGTAGGGGTCCCACGATACATTATGAAACGATACGATACGTATCTCGATACTCAGGTCACGATACGATACATAATAGTGTAGTTGAACCGGGGAAGGGGGGGGGGGTTGCAAAACTGACGTAGCTGAGGTCGAGTTGAAAGTCTAATACTTGCTGTGGCATTTGATTAAGATGCAGCATAAAAACTATTGTCAAGAAGTATCAAGCCTACCTGCTGCATAGTAGCCAGCTATGTATTTTGCAATATTTTTTGAAGTCCGGCCGTGCTTTCCCTTTACTGAGGAATGTTACAAAGTACTACAGTAGATTTTCTATTAGGGGCCATATTAGGATATCACAACTACCCATGTTTGATATTTACATGGCCATAATTCTATCAATTGTTTTCAAAACTTTCAAAAAGTTTCAATTTCTAAACTCCGGTCAACATTAATACTTCGAACGTAAATATTGTTCGGTTTTTTATTAGAATTATCAATATTAGTAGGCAATTTTTTAACGCGGCGTTCTATCGAATAAAAAGTTCAAAGATTATATTTATTCATACTAAATTGTCAAAAAGTATATAGAATAAATATAAAACAAAGTACGTTGATATATGAAGACATAGAAGACACGAGTTATTTGTTCGCATTTTGCCTGTCAATCCGCTAAGCATTCTGTTTGTATTTATACAACATTTTGGGCGTGTCATGTCCAGCGAGAAACCAAACAAAAAATATAAGAACAATTTCTCAAAAAAGTCAAATATTCAGTAGATTTCGGCAAAATATGATGGATTTCAGGTATGTAAATAATATTTTTGGTGTATCGATATTTGAGTCTTCGTATCGATAGTCTCGTATCGTCACCAAACGAGCCGATGCATCGATATATCGATGAATCGCGGGACCCCTAATAAGTAGCATATAAGTTCCTAGAAGACGTTGCACATTTTCGTTCTTTATAGAAGGAGGCAACGTAAACATGAGACATCTATTGATGGTATAAAAAGAATGTTGTTGTAACGTGTCCGTAAAGTTCGTAAAGTCCGTAAAGTGTGGAAAACATAACAAACAGGAACGTTTAATTTTTGACTACATTGGTCCATATGTGACGTAACTCAAACGTTAACATTCAACGTTGTCAAAACAGGCTTTTAATTTCAAAATATTTGTTGGTGGAAAAAAAACATGTCAAAAACTTTGTGTTCTCACTACGTTGGTTCATTTCCGACGTATTTTTAACATTGTCGAAACGTTTTTTCGATTTGAAATAACCTCAAAACGTGACGTCAATAATGACGTTCATGGTCCGTATTGATATGACGTTATTTAGATACTCAGCAAAACGTCGATGGATGGTTCAATTTCAACATTGTGGAAATGGCTTCAAAATATTTGTGAGTTAAGGAAACGTTACAAAGACGTCAATATGTTCTCACTAAATCGGTTCATTACCGACGTTATTTTAACGTTAAAAGTTAACTTTGTCAAAACGTTCTTACAATGTGAAATAACCTCAACACGTGACGTCGAAAATAATGCACATGTATCGTCCAGATCCAGCGTTATAAACAAAAAAATTCCTAACCCTGCTAGGAACTTTAAGTACCCGGTCACCCAGTTACCCGGTCACCCGGTTTTTTACACAAACCCTTATCCCCGGGCATCAATTTGTTCATCCTTTCATTGATACACAGTAGAAGAAAATAAAGCACCAATCTTAGTTTTCTGTTCCATCGTGGCCATTTTATTTTATATAAATCAGCGATCGTAGTCGTCTAATCTCATTTTCAGAGGTGGTGTAACCGTCATGCTATAACACCGTGTATATGTTAATCTCAGAAAATGTGAATAAAATAGGTAAATTGTGCATTTTGTATTTACCCTTCAGGAACCCCATAAAGTGAAGCCATTTACCTCACTTGAACTTTAAATTTCTTCGAATTGAAACCATTCATCCCGCTTGTACATTTCTTCGAATTTGTAACCAGTGTGAGTTGACCCGTGTATCCTTTTTATTAATTAGTTTGTATAGTATTGTGAATGTAACTCTCTTTTTATTAAGAGGCAAATAAATTATACATACATACATACATACATACATACAAAACATCATATATACTTTTAGTACACACAACATTGAAAAGTAGAAATAAAATTGGGTTGAATAGAGGAAAAAGCAAATATAATCAGACATGTAATTATTGCCCTTACATGTATGCAAGAACATATGACTCTCCATTTATATCAAGAGAAATATACAAGAAAATTACAAGCGTGAGATGATGAGCATTCTGCAGGGTTTAATTGAATATTTTTATTACTACCCATGCCTCTTTTTGTTAAGTCAGTCCATTTCAATAGACTAGATGCGAGTAGAAATAATCTTGATTTACGTCATTAAATATTCAAAATTCATCCAGAAATATGGTTTCGAAAATTGTTTATCAACTTTGAAATTTTTTTTTTGAAAATGTGACTTCTAGTTCAGGTTGATTCCCCATAGACCCCATGTAACAAAATCAAAAAAAGTGAAATATATTTTAATTTGCATAACTATTAGATACATACGGATTTTATGAAAATTGAACCACTAAAACAGATGTAAAGGAAACTTTCTACTTTACCCGCCATGCTATCTGACCCGAATGAGCCATCTGGTGGTGAAACTGGTAACTACCTACTCGCATCTGCATTATTGGGCTGTATCGATATGGAGAACTTTTTGAACACATGTTTCTCTTTAATGA